ATGCCTCGATCCCCCATCCACATTCTTTAAAAGCTCCCCAGGTGGTTTTTAAGTAGTGCCTATGTTGAAAATCACTGAACCAAGCAATCTCACCTACTTCTGATGACTTCACTTTCAATTCTAGCACAGACCCTCCATATACATCTCCATCTTCAGGGTCAACTGTTCTCTCAGGCTATTTCCTGGGCATCAAGATGTTATGATTGGCTTTCTCCTTTTCCCTGAAAATTTGTTTCTTTTCCTGCATTTCTTACCTGGATGAACAGAACCACCATTGCCCAGACACACAAGCCTGAACTCAGTAAGTCATCCTTGACCCTTCCTTCTCCCTCTCTCTCACCTATACACCTAGCCAGTTCTCCTTACTCCACAAATTCACCCCCAAATCTAACCTCTTGGCCTCACTGGCCTCATCATCTTTCACCTACATTCCTATAATGACTGCCTTAATTGGTCTTTGTACACCTAGTCTTGCCCCCTCTCTAACCTGTTCTCTACAATGCTACCAGAGATCAGAGTAATTTTTCTGAAAATACACCTGGGGCCAGGCGCAGTGACTCACACCCATAATCCCAACACTTTGCGAAGTCAAGGCAGAGGGTTACCTGAAGCCAGGAGTTCAAGACTAGCCTGGGAAACATAGCAAGACTCCCATCTCTAGAAAAATAAATAAATACAATCAAAATATACCTGCTCACAATACTCATTCATGTTACCTGCCAGAGTAGGGGATGCAGACATGAATCAAAACCCACCCTGATTTCAAAGCCCTACTATTAGAGTAGAGAAAGACATATAAACAAGTAAATGATAGTAGAGATGAAGAGAGATGGACTGCAGGCAGATGTGGGAAGGCTTTACTGCAGAGGTAACCAGAAGCCTGTATAATCTACAGGTGCCTAAGTGGGAAAATGCATTCTATGGAGAAAGAGAAACATAAAGCCATTTAGGCATGTTCAGCTAATGGAGGTGATTTTATATGGCTGAGGCAAAAGGTAACACATGCAGCAAGACACAAAGCCTGAGATGGGAACAAGCCAGACTTTGTAAGATCTGCCCAGGATGAAATCCTTCAAAGGTTCCTCGCTATCATCAAGATTATGTGTTAGGACACACAAGGTCATTCATGAGCGGCTCCTATATACCTTCCCAGCCTCATCGCTCATCGTGCCCATTCTCCAGCCTTTCCAAATTACCAGTTCTTTCCAAAAACACCAGGTTATCGCACTTTTTTTTTGTTTGTTTGTTTGTTTGTTTTGAGATGGAGTCTCACTCTTGCCCAGGCTGGAGTCAGCTCTCTGTAACCTCTGCCTCCCAGGTTCAAGCCATTCTCCTGTTTCAGTCTCCTGAGTAGCTGGGATTACAGGCACCCGCCACCACGCCTGGGTAATTTTTGTATTTTTAGTAGAGATGGGGTTTCACCATGTTGCCCAGGTCTTGATGGTCTTGATCCATCTGCCTCAGCCTCCCAAAATGGTGGGATTACAGGCGTGAGCCACCGTACCCAGCCTATGACACACTTTTCTATATGTTACCCTCTCTTCCAAAATGCCCATCTCCCCTTACCTTTCCTTGTCTAGATTCAGCTCTTCTGAAAACTTAGTTTACTGAGCGCTATGTGCCTGGCAATTTGCTAGAAACTGGAGATACAATGAGATATGACGCAACCCTTTTCCTTAAAGAGTTCACTCTCAAGTCAGGGAGAAAAATAAGAAAACAGAACATTATAAATAGTAAAAATGGGTTGGGCACAGTGGCTCACCCTTGTAATCACAGCACTTTGGGAGGCTGAGGCGGGCGGATTGCTTGAGGTCAGGAGTTTAAGACTGGTCTGTCCAACATGGTGAAATCCCATCTCTACTAAAAATACAAAAATTAGCTGGGTGTGGTGGCGGGCGCCTGTAATCCCAGCTACTCGGAAGGCTGAGGTACAAGAATTGCTCAAACCCAGGAGGCAGAGGTTGCAATGAACTGAGATGGCACCACTGCACTCCAGCCAGGGCACCAGACCAAGACTGTGTCTCAAAAAAAAAAAAAAAAGTAAAAATGGTATAAGTGGTAAAAATGGAGATGGAAGTATATACAGAGTGCTGTGGGAACACAAAGAAAAGTCACCTAACCCAAACTGAGGAGAAAGGGTAGTCAGAAAAAGTCCTAGATGCCTGTCGACAGAAACATGTCCTCACTCCAGGGTGATGCTCCCAGAGCACCCTGTAGTCATCTCTGTCAAAGTCTTGATTGTACTATAGTGAATGGTCTGTTTCTTTACCGCTTTTTTCTCTGGATCACAAAGGGTCCAGGAAGGAGATGCGCCCATGCTGCAGAAGGCCTGGAAGGACTGGCTCAACATACTAAGGGTTTGGGAGCTGCTGAGAATTTTTAAAGAAAACAAGCAGCATGATCAGATTGATGTCTCAGAAATGGAACCAATTCCAGCAGCAATGTGGAGGATGAAGTAGAACTACAGGACACAGAGGTTCAGAAAAAGCATAACCAAGGTCTGAACCAGTCTTCTGGCAATGAAGAGAGAGGAAAAAAAAGATCTTATGAAGAGAGTGAAAAAAAGATCTGAGGTAGCAACAATAGGACCTATGCTAGACTTAATGTGAGGAGAAAAGAAGATGATTTTAAGGTTTCTAGAGTAAAGATCTTAAAATAGGAATGTTTGTATATGTGCTTGAAGGGGGCTATGGGTGGAAAGAAAGGGAAGGAAAAGGTAACCACATTTGAAGTAATCAAGCATCCACATACAGCTATGCAGAAGGCAGATGAAAATTAGAACCTGAGGTTCCAGAGAAATGGGGACCAAATAGACGTCTTCAAAAACCATAAATATACAGGTGCTATTTGAAGCCACGAAAGGACATGTAATCACACAAGGAAATTAGAGAAAAAAACAAAAATGCAACCCTAAGGAATGCCACGTTAATCTGAGAAGAATAAAAAAAGAAAAGGGAAGCATCAAGAAAAGCTTTGTTTTGGTCTGAATGATGGAAACCTGAGGATGTATACCGTCCAACAGAAAAAATAATAATATGGGAAGAGATTAGCTTTAGAAAGGAAGACCCCTCTTCCTCTGAGATCAAAGGAAAGGATATTAGAAATCAGGGACAGACAGGCACAGACAAAAATGACAGCTCCTTAAGAGTTCAGGGCCGATGCCCACCAATTTCTTCTGTGGAGTTAAGTGGCAAAATAAGCAATGAAGCGAAGGCAAGAGTAGGACAAAGAGTCAGAGAAGAACGGTGAAGATCTATAAATGGCCATTTAGATTTTAGGACATAAGCGGAATCTAGAGAGTAAGTCAAAGGATCTCCAGGATCCAGAAGTGTGCAGAAACAGCACCCAGGAGCTTAGTTACATGATTTTCGCCAGCCTGCCCTGGGAGCCCAGGAGCAGAAAAAGCTGACTGATTGTCCAGGCTTGAGAGCATCAGAGCAAAGGTGGCAAGAATAGTACAGGGCCAATGACAATGCTTTTATCATTTTAAAAAGTCAAACGTATTTTACTCTTTTTTAAAAATCGACTCGCTACTTCCTCCGAGAGCGAGTGCTTGGAGAGGCAGAGGGAGAGGGGTGGATAATTCCTCTCTCACTCTTAGAGGACTTGTCAGAAGTTTCATTCTCAAGCATATTTGGTCTGTACAGCAGCTGATTCCAGGAAATCCAAATCCTGATTCCTTCTGGTTCTTAAAAGATGAAAATTCATTGAAGCTCCCTGGACTATCCAGCTAATAGATAACCACGCGAAACATTGCTTATATACTATGCCATTTTAGCTGGGAGGTAGGGGCTCTTTCTTTCCTAAAAAGAAAGGTTCCCTAAACACTGCAGATGGGGATGGAGAGGGGATGGGGAGTAATTATACTGCAAAGCTCGCTGACTAGCAGCCTAAGAATCCTTTACAAAGGCAATTAACATAAAACAATACATGGTACAGATAGTAGAACTGTTTCTTCTTAATGAATGCGGTAAGTAAGTGACCATTTAATCGCTTTACTGGAGTTCACCAATTTCTCCTGCCATCTCCCATACCATTCTTCAAGCAGACTCAAATCCCTGTGGACAATGGACTTCTTGCTACCATCATCTGGAAAGTACAAAAGGCCTGGAAGGAGGAAGAGGCTAACATGCGTGACCACCCACCATATGCCAGGCCTACTGTGTGCTAGACTCTGGGAAAGGGAGTTTACATGTTATGGGGTGCAGCTCATGTAAGGACGAATGAAGATATTACACTATGGACCTGAGCCGGGCGCAGTGGCTCACGCCTGTAATCCCAAAACTTTGGAGGGCGAGGCAGAAGGATCGCTTGAGGTTTGAAGTTCGAGGCCAGCCTGGGCAACATAGCGAGACTCTCTCTCTTAAAAAAAAAAAACAAAAAAAAAAAACAAAAAAAAACGATGGATCTGGCATTCCAGAGAGTGGGAAAGTGTCTGGAGGTTTAAGTGTAAGGGAAGGAAAAGGAGATCGCGATGGTGGGTGGTCAAAGTGAGGGGAGAAGAGGTGAGTTGGGAAAGGAAGGTACTTAGGAGCAAAAGGGCAAGACCCAGGGACACCTGGAGCGGGGCAGGGGACTGCCATGCAGACAGGACAACGTACAAAGGGTAGGATGATGGGGCGATGAGCTCGAGAAGCGCAGCCGGGGTAGAGGTGGGGGCAAATGTCCGATCCTGGCGAGACGAGGGTCTCATCCCTGGGGACTGCGGGGCTAGGACGTGGTCCCAGGGCTGCGAGAAGGGAGAGAAGGGGCAGAGGGGAGAGGCCCCCGCGGCCGGGAAGAAGCCGAGCCCGGGAAACGCCGGCGATGGGGGAAGGGGCGTGGGAGCAGGGGCCGGACGGGCCAGACTCGGGGCTCCGCGCTCGGAGGCGGGGCTGGACAACCGGGAGGCAGCGGGCAGGAGGCGACAAGGGGCCAACGGATGCCAGGACGGGGCTCGGGGCCGGGAGTGAGGAGACGAGAGGGTAGCGGAGCCGCAGCGAGCGCCGCGTCCCCCTTACCTGGGATGAGAGAGGAGCCGCCGCGCCGCCTGGACGGCATCCTGGCCTCAGCCGCTAGTCCCACCGCCTTCGGTGGGGGGCCACTCGCGAGCCCGCCCTCACCGCCAGGCGCCAGCAGCTGCCAGCCCGGACCGGCCCCGCAGAAGAGCGCCGTTCCGACCCGCACCCGAGGCCGCCTCAGCAGCGACTCCCGCGGTCGCCGCCTCAGCGCGGACCTCCAGGGTCCGGGGCGGTGGCGGGATCACACAACTGCTGCGATTGGGTGAGCGGGCGATGTGTCGGCTGCTCTGATTCGTGGGTTCCGGCCGGCTGCCCACTGAGGGAGGTGGAGCTGGGGATGGAGCTGGGTCCGGCCGGCGCCGAGGGGCGGGGGTCTGACGTTGCAGCCGGCCCGCGGCCCCACAGCCCTGCCCGTGCGCGCTCCCGAGGGGGCTTCCCGGCAGCAGCCGGCCAGGCGGGGTGGTTGCCCTAGCAACGGCGCGCGTGGCTTGGCTGCAGGGGAGCCGCGGGCAGGTGGCGGTCTCACCGCCCCCACCCCCCACGTGGGTAGCCCAGAGGCCTTCATCAGTGAAACCCTAGGACAGGACAATAAAATGAGTTTTTCCTGATAATTCCCCTCCTCTGCTTCAGAGCCCACCGTTGCCAGCTGCTGGCAGAGGAGCTGTCATCTCCTGGGGGAGATAACGCGCAAATGCAGATAACGAACGCAAACACTATTTCATCCGCACCGAGAGTGTAGACGTGCAATAGTCCCTCCCAACCACAGAGGTGGGGGGCTGACGCCCTAAAAGAAAGAAAGAAAAACTAGGAAGGGAGAAAAAGGCAAAGAGGCAAAAGAAAGGTGGGGAAAGGGCAGACATTTCACAAAATGATCCATTCATTTTACAGTTTCTTCCTGGAGACACGTCTACACCAGGTTCTGTCAAAGCAATTATTTCTACTGTGTTGACATGGATTAGAGAAGGCATGAGTGCAGAATCTAACAGCTGTATTCAAAATTGCTGTCTACTAGGCCAGGTGCGGTGGCTCATGCCTCTAATTATAGCATTTTGGGAAGCCAAGTCTAGTGAATTACCTGAAGTCAGGAGTTCAAGACCAGCCTGGCCAACATAGTAAAATCCCGTCTCTGCTAAAAATACAAAAAATTAACTGGGCATGGTAGTGGACGCCTGTCGTCCCAGCTACTCGGGAGGCTGCAGCAGGAGAATTGCTTGAACCCAAGAAGGTAACTACCTTCTTTTGCACATAGTATAATATTTTCAAAGTTCATCCATGTCGTAGCATGTGTCGGCACTTCATTCCTTGTTATGGCCAAATAATATTCCATTGTACGGACATCACCTTTTTTTTTTGAGAAGAATCTCATTCTGTCTCCCAGGCTGGAGTGGAGTTATGTGATCTTGGCTCACTGCAACCTCCACCTCCCGGGCTCAAGTGATTCTCGTGCCTCAGCCTCCAAAGTAGCTGGAATTACAGGCACGTGCCGACATGCTTGGCTAATTTTTGTATTTTTAGTAGAGATGGGGTTTCATCAAGTTGCCCAGGCTGATCTTCAACTCCTGGCCTCAAGTGATCTGCCTGCCTTGGCCTCCCAAAGTGCTGGGATTACAAGCATGGCCCCCATTCCTGGCTGGACATCACCTTTTATTTATCCATTAATCCATTGATAGACATCTGTTTCTACTTTTTTGGCTATTATTCATGATGCTGCTATGAACATTTGTGTAGAAGTTTTTGTGTGGACCTCATTTGATCTTTATAGCAACTGTCTAAGGTACATATATCTCCTTCTACAGATAACCAACTGACTGGGTGTGGTGGCTCACTCCTGTAATCCCAGCACTTTGGGAAGCCCAGGCAGAAGGATCCTGTGAGCCCAGGAGTTCTAGGCTGCAGTGAGACGTGATGGCACCACTGCAGTCCAGCCTGGGTGACAGAGTGAGACCTTGCCTCTCACCCAAAACAAACAAAATATATATATATATATGTATGTATACACCCACACACCCACACACACAGATAAGAAAACTGACTATAAGACTGTAGACAGCAATTTTGTTGTTTATTTGTTTGTTTTTGTTTTGAGATGGAGTTTCTCTCTTGTTGCCCAGACTGGAGTGCAATGGTATGATCTTGGCTCACTGCAACCTCCACCTCCCGGGTTCAAGTGATTCTTCAGCCTCAGTCTCCCCAGTAGCTGGGATCACAGGCGCCTGCCACCATGCCCAGATAATTTTTTTTTTTTGTAGTTTTAGTAGAGACAGGGTTTCGCCATGTTGGCCAGGCTAGTCTCGAACTCCTGACTTCAGATGATCCGCCTGCCTCCGCCTTCCAACGTGTTGGGATTACAGGTGTGAGCCGCCGCGCCCAGCCTTTGTTTTGTTTTTAGAGACAGGGTCTCGCTATGTTGCCCAAGCTAGTCTCGAACTCCTGACCTCAGGCGATCCTCTAACCAATTAAGCAAGGGCCAAGTTCCATTCTGCTTTCTACATTTCAGACCTCTTCAGGTAAAGGACTCACCATGACCTCAGTGATACAGAAGCCACCGCCGGTGCACAGCCCCTGCCAGGCTCTCTCCACAAAGTGGAGATGGAGATCTGAGATGACCTCCCACACTGCCCAGAAAATCCTTCCCCCACCTATAAGACCTGGAAGAAGAATTGAGTAACCACATGGGGAGCTGACACTGGTCCTCCTACCACGTATTAAACTGTGAGAACGAATTCTAGATGTGGGAATTCAGTAATAACAAAGGACACAATCCTTTCAGTGAAACCTGTCACATGGCAGGATGTCTCACTGAGCAGGACAGCTTCAGGTGACCCAGGGACTACACTGTCTGTAGCTGACAGGGTCCAGCCTTTGAGGCAGAAGTAAGAAGCAGCTTGATCTGAAGCAAAGCTCAGGGTTATTAAGAACAAGATGAACTTTTCCTGCTTTCTAAATCTGCCCCAACACATATAGTACATCTGCTAGTAGGAAGAGACTCTAAAACATACTCAAGTGGAAAGAACAAAGTTCAAAACAGTGTGTATAATATACCCATTTGTATATATTTAAAATACACACACACACACACACACACACACACACACACACTTCTTATTTTCAGAGGCAATATCAAGAAAGATGCACACATTAAGTTGGTAACAGTTTTGTCTCTGAGAGGGAAACTGAAGGACTTGGGCACAGGAGTAGGAAAAAGACTAATTCTTAGCTATGTACTCTATGGCACCTTAAAAAATTATGTGCTGGCCGGGCGCGGTGGCTCACACCTGTAATCCCAGCACTTTGGGAGGCCGAGGCGGGCAGATCACGAGGTCAGGAGATCGAGACCATCCTGGCGAACATGGTGAAACTCCATCTCTACTAAAAATACAAAAAAATTAGCCGGGCGTGGTGGCGGGCGCCTGTAGTCCCAGCTTCTAGGGAGGCTGAGGCAGGAGAATGGCGTGAACCAGAAGGCAGCAGAGCTTGCAGTGAGCAGAGATCATGCCACTGCACTCCAGTCTGGCTGACAGAGTGAGACTCCGTCTCAAAAAAAAAAAAAAAAAAAAAAAAAAAAATTATGTGCTATGTGCTTGGATTATCTTTTTTTTTTTTCTTATTTTAATAGGCAGGGCCTCATTCTGTCACCCAGACTGGAGTACAGTGGCATAGTCATAGCTCACTGCAGCCTCAAACGCCTGGGCTCAAGCGATCCTCCCACCTCAGCCTCCTGAGTGGCTAAGACTACAGCTGCACGCCACCCACTCCCTGCTTTTTTTTTTTTTTTTTTTTTTTTTTTTTTTTTTGAGACAGAGTCTCGGTCTGTTGCCCAGGCTGGTGTGCAATGGCATGATATCAGCTCATTGCAACCTCTGCCTCCCGGGTTCAAGCAATTCTCCTGCATCAGCGTCTCCAGTAACTGGGATTACAGGCACCCGCCACCATGCCCAGCTAATGTTTGTGTTTTTAGTAGAGACAGGGTTTCACTATGTTGGCCACGCTGGTCTTAAACTCCTGGCCTCATGTGATCTGCCCACCTTGGCCTCCCAAAGTGCTGATTTCAGGTGTGAGCCACCGTGCCCAGTCTTTTATTCTTTTTTTTTTTTAGAGATGAGATCTTGCTATGTTGCCTAAACCGGTCTTGAACTCCTGGGCTCAAGCAGTCCTCCAACCTTGGCCTCCCAAAGTGCTGGGATTATAGGCATAAGCCATCATGCCTGGCCTGGATTACCTATTTACAAGGAATGAATACATAACTTTTTTTAAAAGGAAAACTCGTTCCTGAAAAACTTTCCAAGCCTGTATGCACATCTGGTTCACATCACATTTCTATTTGTCTGTGTAATTTAATGAGCCTCATAGATTCTGAACATTCTTTCTGTGTTTCTAATTTCCCTCCTGGGCCTCACCTCTCCAGGTGATCAGCCCAGAATTAGATCATCTCACCAGAGAGCATTGGCCAGGCGCGATGGCTCACACCTGTAATGCCAGCACTTTGGGAGTCCAAGGAGGGTGGATCACTTGAGGTCAGTAGTTCGAGACCAGCCTGGTCAACATGGTAAAACCCAATCTCTACTAAAAATACAAAAATTAGCCAGGTGTGGTGGTGCACACCTGTAATCCCAGCAACTCGGGAGGCTGAGGCAGAAGAATCGTTTGAACCCAGGATGTGGAGGCTACAGTGAGCCAAGACTGCACAACTGCACTCCAGCCTGAGCGACAGAGCAAGACTCTGTCTCAAAAAAATAAAAAATAAAAGATAACCTCACCTGAGAGTATAGATGGCTTTGCCCTCTCTTTAGGCAATTCAAAGGGCTCACAGCCTGTTTCTTCCAAACAGCCTACGCAACCCTGGCACGGCTCAGAAGCAGAGGAAATGGACCAGTGCTTGCTGCCATCCCAGTGAGAGCTGCGAGTTTCTCTCCTCTAGGCCAGGCTTTGCACCGCGTCTGCCTTGGGAATTCACCGCTAGAGAATAGCTGGCCAAGGAGGAGTGAGGACTCCTTACTACAGCAACCTCACCTCCTGGAGGGAAAGTCTATGCAACATACCTAGGAATGTGCAGGCTTTGAGAACTGAAAAGGCAGCATTGCCCTCCAGCGCTTTTGCTTTGGGGGTTGTTGGCATTGCTTTGCTCTTAAGAAGGACACGGTCCCCGCGCAGTGGCTTACGCCTGTAATCCCAGCACTTTGGGAGGCCGAAGCTGGCGGATCATGAGGTCAGGAGATCAAGACTATCCTGGCCAACATGGTGAAACCTCCTCTCTAAAACTACAGCAATTAGCCGGGCATGGTGCCGCCCTGCTGTAGTCCCAGCTACTCAGGAGGCTGAGGCAGTCAAATTGCTTGAACCCTGGAGGCAGAGGCTACAGTGAACCGAGATCACGCCATTGCACACTCCAGCCTAG